CAAAAAAACACTACTCATGTGCCCTGAACGTTTGATCCTCTCTGACCTTACATATTCCAATTGCGGTGTACTATATATATCGGGAGCATTGCAAATTGAGGGTGGGCCTTTTTATATTTCTATATCAAGGGGAGTGGATGAAAATGGCAGGACAAAGGCGAGCCTCTGGGCTACTTCCTGCGGCCTATGGATTTCGGTACCGTTCTCAGTACAGCAAGGCAGCGGCTACAGGAGACCACACACGCAAATGAGCAGTTGTCAAAATCTTGGGCTAGAGACAGGGGTCATAGAAACCTCCCAAAATCGTGCCCCCGCATTCCTCATAAGTAATTATGATAAGTAGCACTGGGCAAACCTGATGCAGTAAATACCTTGGCCGTATACCTCCTACATGAGGATCCCGCAAAGGTATTGTCATTGGTGCGCGGCTGAACCCTAGAAAAGCTTTGCCCCACGTCCTCCCAAAGTGTCTGGTGTGGTACTGCGATTAGATCTAGTCTGCAGGTTACGTGCCTGTTTAACATCAGTCTGAAGATCTCTCAAGCTTACCTGTTTTTTGGACATGCATGTGGGAGAGTATTTGAACTACTCTCCTAGAGACGCACAGTAGATGTGTAGAAGAGAAGCAGCGGGCCTCCCAAGGTGTACTGATTTAATTGGGCATTTGCCTGTGGTTTTTTGATTGGCTAGGTCCATTTTGATACTATCTCTAGTCTACATCCCATAAATCCCCCGTGCTCTCAAAAAACCACTCCTACTGCGCCTACATGTTATTCAAAAAGTCCTTACACCCTCAGGTAACGCCAGCTCCTCCGCCAAGCTGCCTACAGGGTTGGCGGCGGATCTTGAGGGCGTGACCCACTACAGCTGCCCAGCCGGTACAGTTTAAACTCTCAGCCCGTCCCTTGATCCCTGTAGCCCATCAGAGCTTCGTGCAACTTTCCCAGCATGGTCCCTGAACTGTCTGTTGACAGGCAAGTAGCAAAAGATTAAGCACAGCCAAGGGCTGGTTCCCGGCATCTTCCCAAGCGGTATGCACTTCCACTTCGATGGCCTGGCCACAGTTGCGTCTTGGTTTATTTGGGTTTTGGGTTTAGGGTTCAGGGTTTACGGTTTAGGGTTCCCTTGTGGGATATCTTCTGGCATCTTAGCTTTCTGGGAATCAAGGGTAGGAGGGTCTGAAATAGTTCCTCTCAGACAGGATGGTTCTCCCTCGTTTGTCGGCCACCCCGCCACCCACCCCATCACCTCGATACCCTCACCTCGCGAGTCCCTTTGTTTCAACAATTGAAATTCAATGGAACTCCAATAAACCATCAAGGACAAGCCAAATCAATACCTGAATTTGAATAAAAACAATGAGAAAATTGGTTTCATTCAAGTGAACTTAAGTCGACAATCAACTACACGTCAGCTTAATTCCGCCGATTTCTCATTAAGGATCAATGAAAATGGATTCAAATTTGATACCTTAGGTTCTGACAACTCAAGGAAAAGGCATTGTTTCGCTTGATTTCTCACTACAAGTCCATTACAAACTGGTCAAACTAATTGAATTGGAATTTTCAAATCAAGTAACAACTATTGCAATTTAATTGATTTCCACCTTTCAAATCAATTGGTCTATGCTAAATGCAGTAAACCCACGCGTGGTTTGGGAAGAACCGGTATTTGGATATGAGGCATGTGCTCAGGGGTGTGTGTCATGTGGGGAACTGTAGATCTCTCTCAGGCAGGATAAAACTGGGTTGAGTACGAGAAGCAAGGTTCTCCTTGTTTCAACCTCGAAGGCTGGCGCCTTGAGCAAAGGTGAAATTCAGCTTTGCCGATGGGCGCTTGAGTTGGACGGCACGGCCTTATGAGAGCGGGGCTGAGAAGCTGCACGGCCGCATAGTTCAGGGTCCGCTTTTCTTACATTTGCGGACTTTACATGTTTGCCTTCCAGAATAGTAGGTCAGCACGACGTGAAGTGCTTAGACTGGAGCACTAGCTTCTGAGTATTGGAGAACAGTTCACCTCACTGTCACTGCAGGCACTACAGCACGTGCATCTTCGGAGGCACCGGAACAGGTCCCACTATTGGCATCAAGCCTTGCCTCACCAACCCGGTTGTGAACCTGCTGCCCATTGAGGACGCTTTTTCCAGCTTGCTTGCTGACGTTGACGCAACTCCTCCATTTCAGGTTAAGCCTGCTGGCAGTGTTAAGCAGCTTAGATGCCAGAGCTGTCTTTTCCGAAGAAGGACCAGCTGTGGCTTACCACTGACACCTCCAAGTGGGGCCGCGTGAATCCTGACACCTTGGATACTTTGCCAGACGAAGTAGAGGCTGCCCGGTTCAGGAGCTTCGGTTCATACAGGGCACATTAAAGGTTCGGCATGAGTGATGCTGATGCTGGATCAGTTCAGTGGGGCATCACACGCAAGCTGCTGGAGGATTTCTGTCAACCCTCCGATTTCTACGCAGTGCTGGAAGCTGGTAAGCTGGTACTCACACATGTCGTCAACATGCAGCTTGTCATTTGCCGCCCGTTTGTGTGGTTTTTCTGTTTGCAGACGTTTGTCCATATACCCCGCCCCTATGCTATCGGTGACGAGCTTACGCGCTAGGGAGCGGCGGGCCACTTATCTCACTGTAGTGTCAAGCCACCCCTGGAAGGTGGCCTCTACTGTGCTGAACGCGCACCCGGCCTGTGATCCTGCAAGCAAAGCCTGCTTCGTGCAGCTTCTTGGCGAGCAGGAAACAGCATCCCACATTTCAATTGTTGAGTTCCTTGATTAGTATGATTTTGCTGTGAGTTATGGTGCCTTTAGCCACGTATTTTAAATCCCTTACATCTTGCGTGCACCCCCTGCAAGTTAACCTCTGCGCAGCTCGTCAAAATCTGCAGGGAGTAGTCATGTTATCTGCAAGCTGGAGTGAGCAAGACTGGCGGGAACAAAGCTCACTTGATTCAGCTGGGAAGGTACAACTGCGGCGACAACGCGCAGCCTTACACGAACCAGGCATGGATGCCTCGGGGTTGAGGTTGTTTGGAACGCTCCTTCTTGACCACGCCGTCCTGACCCAGCCAGTAGAGGTCTGAGGTACACTTCAAGCATTGCATCCCCTTTCCCCGTTCAAGGCTTCTTTTGTTGAGTGCCCGGAAGTTATGTATGCAGCTTGGACACATCAACTTGAGTGGCCTACGGTTGTGCTAGAATATCAGGAGGTTTCGAGAGGTCTGAAAACAGCGCTGCTGTGCCAGGGAAGCCTGCATAGTCTGAGTTCTTAGACAGCTCTACACGAAAAAATGAACACATGCCTTCTTTTCCAAGTTCTGATAGCTGGCATGGGGTGTTAGTTCCATCTCCCAGCATACTTGTCGACAAAGGGTAACAACCCCCCCCTCCCCACAGGATTATCTCCTGGCACGCTGGAAAATGCACAGCGCAGGCTTTAGTTGGAAAACGATGCAAGGGAATTCAACGATCAGGTCCAAGATTTGAAGAAGCAATAAGAGGGAAACAACACGATAACCGCATTTGGGGACAGGCAAGAACGAACAGGGCTACCAATCCTTATTTGCCCCAAAAAAGCGGTGTGAATGATTTTCTGGCCATTGTGGAGAGTCATGTGCGTTTATTCGCTTCCATGTCTTTGTGATCATGACATTGGCCAAATGCTACTACGGCCTTTCTGAGTTCATGTGGTTTCTTCGCTTGGAATGAAACCATGTAAGGATAACATGAATTTCTGAATAACTGAATAACCAACTCGGTAGATGCCATAGCTACTAAAGCTCCCAACCTGCCACAATGACAGAGCTATCCTCATGCAGGCCTGCATTGGTCAGCTGGTGCCAGGGGTTCCTTGGACTTCTGGGTGTTGTTAGAGTCCCCCTTAAGTAGATAAAATATGGCTTTTGGGTAGATTATACTGGGATCCCTATATACCTCATAATTATTCTATCTACTTAAGGGGGACTATACATGTACATTGGACAGCCACCATGACATGCACATGGATTTTCATCTTCAACCCAAGGCTACCGGCATGCGCACTGTGGAGATCAGCAGGGCAGAGCTGCCCGAGAGGAAGCTCATCCAGCACAGCTGCTTGGAGTGGCAATGCTACCGCAGCAGTCCAACTTTTCCAAGTGGAGCTGAGGGTTCAAGGATCCATATCCCCATCATGAATATCCTCCATTATCTGGAACCTACTGGATTTTGGGGGGGGCAGGTTGAGCGTATGATTTGTCTAGGAGCTTTGTCGTGCGGGATTGCAAGGCCATAGTCCTTGCATCACGCCGGGCTTTGTCATCAGCAAGATCGACAGCTTCACGGCACGGAGTCCCTTGACCCTTGGGACGCGTTGAGTAGATGGAATGAAGTCCGCGAAGCTCGGTAGCCCAATATAGTCCCCCTTAAGTAGGTAGAATATGGGGTATATGGGGATCTCATTATAACATACCCAAAGCCATATTCTATCTCCTACCGGGGGACTATAATATGAGGCCCGGGCCTGAGCAGAAGTAGATGCTGCTGCTGAGGGTCCAAGTACCTAATAATTGTATACTTCCCCAAAACCTGTACTATAATTACTATTACCCAAATCCCAAGTACCTAAATATTGGGTACTTGGACCCTTAGGGTCTGCTGAGGAACAGCAACTCGGGGGTTCTGCGCTTCCTGCACCAGGCAGGTTCACGGCTAGGGGCTATACTAGGTTAATTATATAAGGGTCATATGGGGCTATATAGGGTTTAGGGATTAGACTTATTTTGGGGGATTTAAAAGGGTTTATATAGAGATTATCAGCAGTATATTGGGGGTTTTCCAAAATTAGGGGGCACCTTTTATGGGTGTCCTTATGAGAAGGACTATGGTTTTTTGGGCCTCAGAACACAGTCCGTGCTTCAACGAAAAAAATCGCTGTCTAAATTGACACAGGCAGTGCTTGCATGTCCAAAGCAAACCTTGTATTGTCTCGTGCACCCTATCCGAACCAAGAGGATGTATAACCCCAATAATGGAGAATTAAGTGGAAAACAAGATGGAAAATGGAATGGAAGCCCTGCGTCCTTCAAGGGATATACACGGATAGTACTCCAAAAATGGAGAAAGAAATGGAAAAGAACATGGAACTTGCAATGGAAACTGGAATGATATATGGGCTTGGGCGCATTCGCGGTTGAAAATGATTCATGTGGTCACGCAGACCCGAACCCCTTACACTCCGCGCTCATTCAGATAAACGCGGGCAGGCTTCCAAATGTGAGTATCTACACAAAACTCTTAGTGGTGGTAGGTGGGTCATGTCCTTAAACCCTAAACCCAAAATCCAAAGTATCTATATTCAGGTCCTGTGCCCACAAGGGCACCCGGCTCTCTTTTCATTTGCATCAGGCAGAAGACGACCTCTGGATGGTCATGGACAGGAAGACAAACAAGTCCGCAATTCTTCAAGGCTTCTCCTCGCAAATTAGAATTCACTTGAGTAGTATTTTATTTGGGGCTTCTACGGTACCCAGTATAGAGTAAGATTATATCTTTCTTTTGGGGTATAGTCTTTTATATAAGGAATATTATCTTACAGGGTTAACACCCCAAAAACGCTGCTCAATTCGAATTCATTTGGGATAGACAGGGATAGGACCTCCATATTGGAGAATCACACGAAACAATGGAAAGTGCCATGGCAAAAAGGGATTACGTAGGGGATCAGGTATGAGCTACTGTCAATATTAGCCGTTAGCCTGATCAAGGCTCCTCTTGCAGTTTAGTATAGTCCCTGATAATCAAGGAACCCATGTCCATTAAGATGTGTAGGAAATATTGACTATAGCTCATTTCATAGAGGAACGCTTGATGGCTTCGGACATGGTGCTTGTATGTCCCAAGTGCACTTTGGTTCACATGGCCATGGCATACCCAGCCGCTCTCTGTACATATAACCAATCGACAGAGAAGGAAGCGTGAACTTCGTGAACAACCATTTCTGGAACTGCTACGAGGTGGACGGCAATGTCGTGATTGATGCTTGCCCCTTCTGCCAAGTCTTCCGCCAATATCTATAGACAAAGTTGGGCCCCACAAGCACACCCCGATCCTTCATGCGGAAGCCTTGCGCCATGTGGTAGTTGTCTAAGTCTCGTCCATCATTGATAGAAAAGAAACGGACACTACCATGTTATGCGCTTGCTTGCATTTGCCAGCTTGGGTGGTCCCTTCCCGTGGACAAGAAATGGAAAGTGCTATACGAACATTTGGCCTCAGGGGCTGCATGTGCGTTGTCACTCAGGACAGTGTTGCTGCAACAGAAGATTACCTCGACAACTACTTTGAGAAGAACCTGGCGGCTGATAGGTCCTTTATCGTAAGGTGCAGAAAAGCACAATAGCAACGGCTACTAGCCGAACCGCTTACTGTTGAAATCTAAGCCCTTGTGCCCCAGGAAGCATTGTAGCTGCCAAAATACATGCCCAGAGACCATGTAGTAGAATTGGGGTTGCAGGGGCTGATCTCGGAGAAATCCAAGCAAGCCAGAGCAATGACAGCTGAACTTGGGAAGCATCAGTCACAGTGTGCGTGTGAAGCAAAGAGATGCAAAGAGGGGTGCATTATGTTCTAGATCGCACAAGAACTTGTCCTCACAAATGCCTGAAAATTGTTAGATGCATGGCCGCCTATTTGACACACTCAGAACCCCCTTCTAGCATCACCCGGGGTGGCAAAGTGGATATCAAGCAGCCACTGCTGAATCAAGCGGCCACTGCTGAAAACGATGGGTGATCTCCCATGGGCCATCTTGCGTAGCAAAGACGGACTGAGAGTCTTCCTAACAAAGAAGTGCTCGGTCGCCACAGGAACTGGACGAAGCTTTTCCACCCGGCTCTTCGGTGCACAGTGCCTGCGGCAAAAGGCCAGGCATTTCCTCTGCGAAACCTGGGCTGCCGTTCAGGAATTTAAATCAAATTACCATAATATGGGTATATAGTAGGCAATACGGTTTCTTTCCTCATTATAGTAATTTAATCTAAATTGCTCAGCAGTGACCCAGAAACAGGGACAGCGCTGCTCAAAGGGTCGGTGGTGCTTCTCAATCCGAACAGGTGGTCCAGTCTCGTGCGAGAAGTTCTTCCTGAAGGAGCCCGCGCGGTTGCACGGTTTAGGGTTTTGGGGTGGATGCAAGGCAGGTTCAAGTGCTTGACTAGATGAAAAAATACTGTTCTCCTGCACGGAAGTGTGCTGCAATACACAATCACAGTGCCTTTCCTTCGAGGAGGGTCCGTCTTATGCCATGCATGGTTTATGTAACGACGCCAGGTGGCATGGCAGAGAGAAGGTGTGGACAGCAGGGCCAGACCAAGTTTGAAATAGGGTTCAAACGAGACTACAGTGCGGGCATGCGCATGCAGCAGCGGACGAGCAGTATTCTCAGGTTATTCTACAAGTTGTATCCACAGATACCTTTCCTACCTTTGTAACTTCTGTCTGAGTAAATGGGGCGGCTAAGACCAGAGAAGATTTTAATGTGAAGTTGGGATGTCCAAAGTGAAGCTGCGGACGCTGCTGAGTGGATATCTTGTGCATGTCAATGCGCTGGCTGATGGACGGATTGCGAGGGTGCCGGGAGCGAGAGGGAGAGAGAGCTGGAGTTGGAAAACTATGCGCATATCTATGAGAAGGGAGGGGGAAGAGTGCAGGGAAGAAGTCAAGAGTGTGGAGGAAAGAGGAAGAGGGAACCCTGAGTAAAAGCAGGCGAGGTCCAAAACCGGGTGAAAGAAAACATGGAAAGAGCTGCAGTGATTCCGCGCGACCAGCACTATGTGCATGACTTTATGACACTGTAATGTACATTGGAGTATATTGGGGTTATATTGGGAGAATGGAAAAGAGAACGGAAACTACTGTATAGGGGAGTCAGAATAAGCAGCATGGGAGTATAGGTCGCTGCAGCAAATTCAAACGAATGCAAGTGCAGGGGCCCAGATTGATACAGCCGAGTACTAACACCCTTACTGTGTTGTAGCGTGGATGCCAAACTTGTGAAGCAGTCAGACTCTCTAAGGAGAGCACGCCCAGGGATAAACCTTACCAGGTAGGTGCAGGTGTCATTTTGTAGTGTGAGGGGCAACAGACGACGTGGTGTGTCAGGAGTCTCGCAGCTCACTAGAATAGAGGAGAAGCTCGTTCTAAAGTCTGAGCTTGATCCGACTTTTGTACGACCGTCCTGGCTGAGCAGCCGAAAGTTATGCCACTAGATTGGGCTTCGGAACATGCAGGATCCAGATCCTCGTGAGTGTCGACCCTTGTACCAAACTCTCAGCTAGGGGGCTTCGCCCCCGCGTGCTCCTGGATTCTATAAGAAGAAGAAGGAGAGCGAGAGAGAGAGAGACTGACCCTAAGACTCCGACGCCCATGCTGAAGTTGCTTGAGGTTCATGGCAGCAGGGTTGTTGAGTCGTGAGGATCAGCGAAAACCAGTCAGGGAACGCATGTTGAAAGTCTTGGGGTAAGCAACATGCAGGCCGTGCCAAGGTGATCATAAGCAACATCCTGCGGGTCCAAACAACCCCGAGGACGAAGGAGCTGTGATCTTCGACTACCCAACTTTCAATCCCGCCTTCAAGATGAACCCCAGCTACCAGTTCCTGGTATTCAGCAGAAGGGTCAGGGTTTGATAGTGCAACCTGGCGGTTCGCCAGTCGGATTCCATGCAAGCGCCCAAGCCTTGACTTTTCAAAGCGCTAGTGTGCAAGCTGGTGGAGTGGGGGCAAACGTGAGGGAAGAACTGATGGCATCATGATTGCAGGATGGAAGTTAGTAGTCCTTGGGCTTCGATCTGACTACCAGGGACAACAAGAGAGAGGCCCTCGAACTAGGCAAATGGTGTAGTAGGCGATGTCTTGTACTGAAATTCGCTCTTCAAGCTCCGAAAATGAGCCAGCCAATTTTCATGTGGAAGCCAACCACTTTCAACCAAGAGTTGGTGAGCACAGCCAGAAGTTAGATCAGAGTGGACTGATCCCAGGATGGAACTGAAACAAGCCAAGGTACTTCTACGCCATTGCAGCGAAGGCGCCCACTTCCAGGCCGGCTGGAAGGGGAGAAAGCCGAGTCCTCACCCAGGGCGGGGTATTCCCACTAAGCGTTGCAGCCCCTCCAAAAGTGCACGTGCTTTCTGGGCGCTGTGCCCAGCTTTCTGCACCAAACCGCACCAGGTCTAGTAGCACTTGGAGGGTGTAGACATAGGATAGTCCCAAATGCAACGGCTCCATTGCGGGTTATTCCGCATTTGACATGAGGTGGTTTGATGAGCTCATCAAAGTCAACGTCAGGACGAGGCCAGCAGTCCTGCTTGTTGTCGGTGGCTTTGGCCAGCAGTCGACATCTGTCAGCAATCGCGGGGGTTTCCGTTCCTCATGTAGGAGACCTTGGATACCTGGCTTGCTTGCCGTCTTGCAGGGAAGACCTTCAAAAGCACCTCTCAAATCTTTTCGCCATGACTTAACCAGGCCTGTAGATTTGCGAAGCAGATTGGCAGTAGTGACTCAACGATGCGAACACAAGACGCAGATGAAGCCCTTGGCCAGGTCTGTAGAGCTTTCATGGTCCTCTCCGGGCATCTTCTTGACAGAGGCAGACTTCATCCCCTGGAAGGGCAAGGCCGTGAAGAGGGGGTGGGCTACAGGATAAGTCGGTCATTGTTGGGCGATTAAAAATCAAGTTTAGAAGATGGAATGTTATCAAAGATTTTGCTTATGGCGCCTGGCTGTGGCATCCGCACACGCGCACTTTCTCGGCCCCTTCCAACACCCATTCTACCGGTCCGAGTTCCTTGCGTTGCATCGAGGGTTTCAGTTTGAACAGCATGCCTGGTCAACACATACGGCACTAAGGTTCAAGGAACCACCAGCCTTGAAGTGGACCAGTCTGAATCATCTACCGACCAAGCTGCCGAACTAAACGTAGAGCAACACCTCGGAGGCATCCACAGTATTCGGAACTATGGCCTTGTAAGTTTTCGCTGTGAAGTTACAGGCCCTTGCAAAGTTCTATGCTGCTATGAAGCTGAGAGGCGGATGCCGACCGACCTGAAGATCATGGCATGCTGCTTTCCGTGCTGTACAACACAACATCGGATCAGAGTAGCCTCGGGGTTTTTGATGCTGCCACTTTGGCACTGCTTCACCAGCAGCCGCTCAATTCCGTGATCCCTTTCCATGCACACGGCATTGTGTGCGTGGATGGGCGTTGCTACTCAAACCCGTAGTTGCAGTTTTGTTCCCCTCACCTAAGCTTTTCACCGTTTGCGCGTCCTTGCACATGGCAAGGCACCCAGTGGCAGAGAGTCCATGGAGCAGACTTTGATTGATACAGACATGTACAGAGTGGCCCTCTTACTTGGGGAGGGCCGCTGGTGAACAGAGCAGAGCTAGTCTACAACCACCCTCAGGCCCTTGGGATGTTGCTCAGGAGGTAGCCTTAAGATCGCTTGAGGCGCTTACGCAAGCATGCGTGACAGCTAGCAGATGCATACAGAAGTTTTCTGCCCTTGGAACATTAAGTGCGGGTACTTGTGCGTATCGCGGCCATGCGGCCATACCAACGCAGACTGACTTCAGTCGAGCATGAGAGTCAATAATATGTGTCAAGATAATCGCACAAAACTCACCGCTGCTCTGGCACCAGCAAGAAACCAAAAGTTGATTTTCAGCTGCCTGCCGCACCAGCCACGCATAGGCGATTGGTGATTGGTGGCGCGTGGCTAGCGTGGTGAAAAAGTGGTTTGCCCTTCATGTGACATGTAAATCTGGAGTCAGGCATGCATCCGTGGCATTGAGATTGTCCAATTGGGTCCAGGGGCGCGTTGCTAGCTCTCTGGTTTTGTCCTACCAGTAGCTTCGCGAGTAGGGCGCGGTATCAGCATATGCAGCTTCCGCAAGCTGCGAATGTGAATGAAGCAGCCGTATGCCCTGTCGTCTAAGGCATTGTCGCATCTTATGTCTTCGTTGCTCGGACGCATGGGTGCCTGCTTGCTTCTCAGGGTAGTTGCCATCTTGAAGCATCTTCTCCTGCACACACTCGTGACAGGGTTGACACAGCTGAAGGCGCATCCTGAAGACACGGGATTGAAAGGATCAAAGGAGTGAGCATACCAAGCAAAGGGACATGCACTTTGCCCAGGATGTTTCGGTGATTAGAGGCGCAGGTTGATCGGTTGCAGCTGACCCCAAACAGAGTTTGAGTCAGCTAGCAAGGGCCCGTTTCTGAGGACATCTTCGATGAGAAGGACAGCACGCAGCCCAATCTTGCCCTTGGTAAACTTAATAGTTGTTTCTGAGAACTATGAGTCTATGTACGTGGCTTATTTGGCGGGGATTTCTTGAGGTAGTGATGACTGCTGCACAGGGATGATACTGGCATGCTTGGCCCATGGCCAGCTGCAAGCAGTCTCTACAGATGGCCAGAAGAGAGCTGGCCTCCGCAAAAGGCGCAGACATCCCAGATTTGTAGTTGTAATGTATAAGGAAATGGAAGCTACTGTAATGGGTTATACAGGGACTGTCATAATGGGTTATAGAGGGATAATATAGGGATAATGGAGCAGAAAGTGGAAGCTAGTATTCGGGCTGTTCTTAAAATTATGGGCCCCTGCTGGTTATAGATGACATTACGGCACCTAAAATTTATGGGTACCAAAATGGGACCTTAATTTTGGGAACTACCCAAATGCACTCTAGGACCCTAGGAGTTTCCCTTGAAAACAAGCTGTTGCACATGCCTCATCACTGCCCCTGAGGACCTGAAACGGGTCCTTGAGCCGTGCGCCGAGCTGTTGCAGGTAAGCGGGTGCAGGGTTAAAGGCTTGAGGTTTAGGGATATTACCCCACTTAGTGCATGGGAAATGATTTGGCAGCTGGGTCTATACAGGGATTTAGAAGCTTCCAACACAATTCGAGTTGAAGTACTGGGGATTTGGAGCCACAAGCCGCCTGAGAAGTTTACTCGGACAAGTCTTGTTGATCACTCCCTTCCTGTCGAGGTCTGCCGGCAGCCTTTGCTTCCCTTGCCCAAGATGAATTTGTTGGGGTGGTGTCGAGGTTTCCTGCCAGATGCATTCCAAAGCTGAGCTTAGAACTCTGAATTCTCAGTCAAAGCTGCTGACACCAAAGAAGTTGACTGCTTCAAACTCAAGAGTTGGGCAGGTCTTCTGCAGGCACGCATCTCAACAAAGTGTTTCCTAAACTTGAAGCATTCCGCACGAGCTCCGAAGCCATCAACAGTTCTCAGCCTTGGCTGCTAGTTTGCATGAATCGGGGTACCCCAATGTAGACCCCAAAATATTTTGATACACATTATGGGGCCCTGGGGCCCCTTACTTCCAGAAAACCCGCAGCTCAGCTGCCGCCGAAGGCCTCAGGCGGCGTCCTGGCCGCCACCAGAACCTCAGCTGCCTTGAAAGTAATATCTACACTAGCATTATTTCCTAAATCAGTATTGATATTAGTGTTACTTCCTTTTATATCAATTTTCATAGCTTTTCCAGTTCTTACTCTTTCCGAATCTGGTCTAGGAGTCGATTTCTGTACGGGCAGTTGCTGGCTTGCAAGCCTGAACCTTGCTTGCTTCAATCCTCCACTTGCTATATAGGGTGGTCAGGAGGGAATAAGAGAACATAAAATCCCTATGTAATCCCTGTATAATATGTTCAATCCCTTATTCTTTACTAGACCCATCAAGGAGGTATTATGGTGCCTAACTGTTTTGGCTTGATGGGGGCCAGTCACCTTGACTGCAAGCCGTAGAACGCTGACATGGCGCGCTCTCACATCCAGCTTCAGGGAGTTCAGCACAATGCAATACACACCAGCATGGCGCCGTGCAGCATCGCGCTGTGCGGCGCACATCTGAGCATAAGTGTGACCGAACATGCAGGCGTTTTTCCTGGAAGCGGGACTCTTGGCCGCAGCTTCCCATACCTTGCAGCTGGATGAGCCCCCAGAAGTCACTTGTGCCAACACATACGCTCAGAGTGCACTGTACGTGTTACGAACTCTGCTGCGTGCCGTGTTGTAGAAAACAGATTTCCTTCATCCATTACAAGCCTATTCACTTTGACCACCGTTCAGACTTGCTTCGACAACCAAACTCCTGGCCTTTGTACTCCATCGTGGCTTGCTTGGGGGCTTTTCTGATCGAGGGTGTGCAGCGCGGCTGAAAGCACGTCCTCGGTAATGCAGTAAGGCCATGTCTTGACACATGTTCGTTGCTAAAGTTTGGGAGCCGGAAGTCCATGCCCATATAGTCCGTTTTCTGTACTTGATGATGCCGGACCAGGTTCATGGATGCCTGGGAAGCAGTGTGGCAAAAGGCACCAGCTGTGGTAGGCGGATGCAGGCCAGGATGGGTGGTCACTGACCCCTGAAGCCCGTGCTGTCTCTTCTTGTACCTCTGAACGCCAATTCTGCCTTGCCTGTCATGCTCTAAGATCTAAGTCACTGGCAGGCCAAAGGACCTTGGCGCGAAGCTTCAGAGTCCCACGGCTACAGTATTGTAGGTGAACAGAGCAGCCCAAAGAAGTGGCTTTTGCCTGTGAGTTTGCTGATGTACCTTGGCAACCACCTATGCGCATGGTAGGCATGTTCTTCAACACTAGACTATGCACACACGGAATGGCTGCAGCCGGATTACCCTTCACAGCATTTTCTTGTGCTGTGGAGGTCTGTGGTCCAACAACTACAAGTTACAAGTTTGGCGACTCGATCCCTTGAAATAGTACCCAGAAAAGTTGTAAAGGGCAGGAAGATCATGGAAGACGATAGAAAGCTCCTGTAATGTGCAGGCAACCGGAGGAAACGTGAAAAGACAGACTGACTTTTGAATCGGCTCTTGCACGATGCTAGCCCCAAGTTAGATCATTCTGCAGCTTCTACTAATACAGCACGTTCCGTCTTGTGTTGCCTGCTCGACATCGAAGGGGTAATGTCATGCGGAGCAGACTTGTGTCATGGGGTAGCACACAGTGCTGCCACTGCACTGGCCACCGGTCTACCTTGACTGTTTGCAGCAGAGCAGATACGAGATACAACTGGCTACCTCCATAAATGATACAGGGATTGCGCATGGAGAGGGCCAGGCATACGATGCAGGAGCTTCACACTGCCTCAGCTAGTCTGCAGCTAAGGCTATGGCTGGGAAGTGCTGGACACGGAGGTCACAGACGTGTTGGGATATCGCTCGCAAGTTGTCCTGGCTAAGCCGCCGCCATCCTGAGTCTGCTGTAGGCATTGCTCGGCAATGCTCGGCATGTATGGTGCGATCTTCAGGCAGCTAAGTATACACACTGTGCCTGAGATCGAGACTCCTGCCTCTTTCTTCAGAAATGAAAAGGTGTGCAATGGCGCGCAAGCTTGACTTGGAATCAAGGAAGGCATAACACGTCCAAATGACACAAAAGGCAGGTCGAATCACTTTATCCACTACAGAGACGTGACATTGAGCGTAAGGCGGGAGAATCCAAACAACATCGCATCGCGGCTAAGCTTTTCCTGCAGAAGGCCACAGTTAGGACTGTGCCTGACAGTGACGCGCAACGACCGTGACGAATTTGCGGCTGATTGCTGTAAGTGCACAATCGGCTTTATCAAGCATAAGAATCGCCACATCATTATCAGCCATTGTGCCACCGTCACTGTCCAAGCGGGCCAGCATGCGCAGGAAGTATTGGCACATCAACAAGCAGCGTGTAACATGCTTACGGTACTGCTAGTGACAGCAGCAGTTCTTCTAGTTGTTGTTGTGGTTGCTACCGCGGTGGTTGCAAGGTTGTGTTTTGCTGGGAACCAGAAAGGCTAAATGGCAAGTCCCCGAAAGGCTCCCACAACATTTGCTTCGTTGGTGCTTCCCAGGTCCTTGTGCTCCCCGACCAGAGAAGTAGTTGTCACGGCAACCAGAATTGAAAGCAATATTGACGGCCACAGCAATACTGTCAGAGAGTTGCGATTGTGATTTTCTGTGCGACTGCATATTTCTTGCAGGAGAATCAGGTGTTTCGAGTATTGCTAGTGCCGAGTGAGCATTTTTCAACCTCAGGGCCTTGCAAATTGTCAAGAAACTTTCCCAAACAATCACCCTTAATTTCGAGTCGTACAAGTATGATCTTCAAGCAGACAGGACCTTGCTCTCTGAAAAGGGAGCAGTAATACCGTGAGCGATTTGTTTCCTATCCCCCAAGGATCCCACGAAGCCCTGCAAAGTATTTTGCGCCTA